GAGGTACCTTACGGAGGTGCCATATTAATCCCAGACAAAGAGCTTCCATTTATTTTTCCCGGGTTCTCAGGGGTCCTATTAAAGAGCCATTAGAGAATGCAGTCGAGAATATATCAAGCTGGAATGAATCAGAGAAGTATTAAGGAATAATTATGCCAGATGGAAGCCTCCCAGTTTTCAAAGCACTATTTGTGATTGAAGCTTCATAAGATTTACTTTAGGTTTGCTGTTTAATTAACTTAAATAATTGATTCTGTACTGTCTTCTATCTCACTTATGTTTACTGGTCCCTGTCTGTTCCTAAGGCTGTGAAGACAGGGAAGGAGGACACGACCAAGTCTGTGTATCACTCCTTTTATTTGAGGTTCAATCAGTAGACTGTAGAACTTCAGTAAAGCAGCACAATCCTCACAAGAACATGTGGAGCTTATGGATGGATGGATGGAGTGACATCAGCATGGTGTTCTTCATCCCAATCACAGCAGCCCTGTTCTGCCCAGAATTGTTGCAAATGACGTTTTCTCCAACATTCTACCCTTTCATTTTTACATCATGGGTAATGCGGCAGTTAGGGGATATCTCGTATGCATACCAAGAACAACTGAACTATTGGAAGAATAAGGTTTTTATGTAAGTGAGTCAGATCTGTAGGAAAAAAAAAAGATTGTTGTTGTCTTACTACTATTGCTAGTATTAAAATCTACCCACTTCAATGCTATGGAGGTGTTAGGTTCTGTTGCTTGTAAGCCTCTCGGCCCTCGTACTGAACCCTGTGCAGATACAGGCTGGGCCATAACAGCAGCAATATGATTGCCATAAGATCAGCAGGCAGTGCTTCAGTGCCATCAGCAGAATCGCAGGCTTGCTGCGTTCCGCTGGGCTTCAGTCGTTCTGAGCGTCACAGTGCGGAAGCTGCAGCTTCAGGCATGTGCCAGGGAATCGGCCCCATTCATAATAACCCTCCAGAGATTCACAGCTTGTCACATAGCTCCATTTCCACCCTGGCAGCTCAGCAGCGCCCCCCCCCGACTGATGTGCCACCACACTGTGCATGTGTGTCTGGAACATCTCCATCGGACCTCAGCGGGTTTCGCCAGACGGCACCTTCTGGGTTTTATCCGCCCTTCCATCTTCCAAACCGCTCATTCCGTACAGGGACGCAGTGAGCCTGGAGTCTGTCCCGGGAAACACGGGTCACGAGGCAGGGGAGCACCCTGGATGGAATGCCAGGCTGCAATGAGGCAAACACTGACATGCACAGTCACACACCAGGGGAAATTTAGAGGAAGCAGATCAACTAACCACATCTTTATCGACTGTAGGAGGAGCATTACCTAGATAGACGTATGATAAATACATTTCAGTACAATACCAAGTATTGGCTATACTGACATAATCACCAAACTCACCTGGAAATGTGTCATATTTTAGGAAAGAACACAACCACTAATGTACCACAGGACAAGAGGAATTTTCTTTATATAAAATTTTGAATTCAAACGTGTCTTATAGACTTATGACATCATCTCTCTTTCTGTTGCAAGAAGCTGCTAAAAACAGTAACTAATAGTTAAACACCTAAAGTCCAGGAAATGGAAAGGCATTTTTTTAGTTATACTGAATACAACATTCTATGTGCTAATCTGGGAAATGATCTCATTATGCTTGTTTTGACATAACCTTTCTATCTTCAAAGACCTTATTTTGTGTAACAGATTGGAAATATATGACATTGTGGTGTTTTTCAGTGTACTACATCAAAGTTTCAAAATCGATCTCAGAGCAATATGCTAATAGGTTTATTCAAAATCATCTTTATTCTGATTGGTCTACCTGAATATCAAACTATCTCAATTGGCACTGTGCATACTAAATAGTAAAGTAAAGGAGGAGAGTTCAGGTGCAGAAAGTAAAAATCCAGTCCAAGATTTTGTTTCAACCAAGCAGTTGAGTACTTTCTGACTGTAACTCTTTATACTGAACTGGTTGGTTGAGACAAAATCTTGGACTGGATTCTTACTTTCTGCGCCTGAAACTATCCACCTCTGCTAAATCGATTGAAACTTGTGATTCTGGAGACACATTTTTGCATTGTCTCCCCAGCCTTTGTCTTTATTCAGTCTATATCAGGTCACACTGCTTAAAGATTTCTGGTCTCAGTCGACAGTCCTGACCCCTGTCTCCTCATCATGGAACATTAAGATCTCATTCTCATTAGAGGTGCTTAATCCCGCAGTGCATCCCCGTCCCAGCAGCCTAGCAGGTTAGCCAGAGCTATATCACTGGCAATCGCAGTGTCACTGCAATACGCTTTTTTGGATGCTTGCATTTCAATGCAGGTTATTCTCTAACCGTATATCTTGCGTGTGACAAGTAAAAACCTTGAAATCCTGGATTCATCTGGTGTTCCTTCCCTCTTACAATCGTGGCAGATTGCAGGACAGCAAGTTCTCATCTCTGTAACATGGAGTCAGGTTGTGTCCCTTTTCAATTATGATTTTTACTTCCAATGATTATCAAAACAAAATAATCAAGATGAAACAATTATTTGTACCGTAATTCCTTTCGCAGTGATGCTCGTTTTGCCTTGTGTTATAAATCCAGTGCACCCCTTTATATTGCCAGTTTTGTTTCTCATTTGAATTAAATTACAGTTCAAAGAAGTCCACTGTTAAAAAGACAAGTATTTTTTTTTTACAAAAAGTTCATTAAATCCATGATATTTCCAAAGATAAGAGTTATCTCGTCAAGTAATTGTAATCTCAATATTGACCCAAATAATCACAAGTATGATTTTTGCCATAATCAAGCAATCCTACTGTACATTAAGACCCATGATGTACCCAATAAGAAAAAAAAACAGATAAAGTCAGCTGAGCTGAATTCACAAAGGAAAGGAGCCATGGAGAAGATGGAAGGGACACTAGTTACATTCCAATAAGCCGCAGGAGCATGTGATGAATGAATAAACGTTTTAATGGAGACAGAAGGTGTTGTACCTCGCAGCTATTATTGTACTGGGTAAGGAGCTAACCCTGTCACCAGTCAGCTGCAGTATTTCTTCATGTCATATATTGCTAGCGAAACTGGCGAAGTGGCTGGTTGCCATGAAAGTTTGTTGTATCTGGATCATGTTTTCAGTAGTATCACTTATGAAAAAGCTCCTCGGAACAGGACTCATGATCCGATAACATAACAGTAAACCTGAACTTTTATTACAGTTTGCACGTTGTTCTACAAACATTTTCTTCTGATGGTTCTGTTTGGCTTTTCTTTGTGAGAACCTTCTCATGTCCTGAGGGTGGCCTGCCTTGGGCTTGGCTTTAGGCTTGTCCTGATTTCATCCTCTGATCCACACTGGGTCTGATCCACACTGGATAACCAGCTGCATGAGCCTGGGCCAGCACTCCAGGATTACTGTGTCACCACCTCACATCTAGAGTCTCTCTTAGTTGAACTGCTGTCAAAGAATTGCATGAAAATCGTTCATCCAATAAGAGGTAACCCTACATATTTCTTCTTCTAAGAGCAATCGGTGCCCAGGTTATTAAGTGGGCCTAGCTAGTACTGAGCAGGGCCCATATTTTCCTCCAGAAACCCTTCGAGGGTAAATGCCTTTTGCATTCAGAGAAAAGTTCATGCACATCACTGTTCTACTGAGCTGTTATTCTTGCACTTATAGTCTTGCTGTTAGTTTTATCGAGACTGGCCATTGTTTTCCACCTTCTGTCATTAACAAGGTGTTTTCAGCAACAGAGCTGGTGCTGACTGGGTGTTTTTTTCTTCGTTTGTTTGTTTATTACACGATTCTCTGTAAACTCTAGAATCTGTAGCAGGTGAAATTCTCAGAATGGTGGCTGTTTCTGACCTAGAACCGGCATGTCCGGCCTCGACAATCATACCACATTCAAAGTTACTTCAACCAATTGCCTTAGACGTTCCAATTCTTATCCAAACAGCAAATGACCCTCTTCACTCTGTTTGCATGTTGTTCGTAATGAGTTGCAGCTACCTAATTCACAGTTTGGAGGATGTGTGTGTGAATAAGTGAGTATATCTAACAAGAGGACACGTGTATGTATTGCATTGTTATTTTTATCATTGGTTGTCCAGGAGGTGAATTAGCGATTGCCTATTGTCAGTTACTGCCTGGTTTTAAGTAATCGGGCATCAGGGTGACACTGAGAATCTTTAGTAGCCTCAACCACCATGAGCAGATCTGGAGCCTGGTTTTGTCCTGCTGGCAGATTAAGGCGCATGTTGTTGAATAATAAGCAACGGCTGCTGGTGAAGTCCCTGAGGTACTTTGCCGTGGATCTGCGTGCTGTTGCAGAACATCCTCGGTTCTCGCTCTCTGTGGGATCAGGAGCCTGTGGAAACGCCGGCTTGGACGAGGGGAGCGAGGGATATGTGTGCACACGCTGCCGAAGGAAGACGGCGTGCTCGTGGGTCCTGCCTGGTCCCAAGATGATTGAGATTAACTACTGATACAGGCTTTACCTTCCATAAACGCGTTCCAGGTCGTGCATGCAGCATGGATGTAGCCAATAGGTGGGTCCAGAGACCCAGTTTGGAGGCTACTGAGGCACAAGCGCCTAATTTACAATTCAGGAATATCTTCCTGCATAAATTTTCATAATCGACTCGATTGGAGCCATCCTCACTGCTGGGATGCGTTCAGCCAGATGGCCGCATATGGTCCGAATGCTCTCTCACTGACCTATGACCTCTGACCTAGCCCAGACATGGAAAGGGGCACCTCTGTGGTTCCCTTGACCCCCGACCTTGCCCAGGCATGTAGGAAGTGCCACACTGTGCACTGCTGACACATATTCGGGAGTCTGGCAAGGGGCTGTGAACCTGTGATTAAAAATCATATTTTACAGTTTCAGTTCCGCTCTAGAAACATAGACACACTAACTCTTCCCTTAAGCAACCAGGTTAAACAAATGTTTTATATTTGGTAACACAGGACTAATTTTTCCTCTTTTTTTTTACAGGTATTTCTGTAACAAAGAAGACACACACTTGTAAGTATAAATATTCTATTCATACATCTTTTAGTATGTTGTAACAGGTGACTGGCTGTACCAAATAATTGTACAGTAGCTGATTTGATGGGAAATCTATGGGTTAAGGAAGAGTAACAACAAATGGGAATAACTATCTACATGATTACAACTCAAACTGCAAGCAAATATAACTGAAAATAAAGTCCTAGACATACAGTATTTTCCCAAAATGCTGCAGGATATATAAAGATGAGCTGCAAGGCCTCAAAACTGTTGACAACGAACGTTCTCTGTATTTTGCAGAAGCAGCATTTGTTTCTTGTATAAAATCTGGAATTATCTGCAGTTTTTTCATGTGACTGTTTAGGGGTCATGTTCCCGCCCGGAAGACAGTTGGTTGAAGCCGCTCTTTGTAGTCTGCAGAGCTCACAACAAGGATGCGTTTTTTTTTTTTAAAACTGCGCGCACAGAAGATCACAATCCACAGATATATTTTTGCACATAAAGGCTGGTGTGAGACATTCCATTATTCTGTTAACACTGGGTTTTCTCTGTCTATATTCAAAGAGAATCAACTGTTCCTTTTATTTTCACCACTCTGCCCATAGATATTCCATGGTACTATAACACACTCCTAAAGAATTCATTGCTGTTTCCGTGAAAGCCCCTGGGCCCTTGTGGAGAACATAAAGCTGGCCCAGGTGTACGACGCTCCAAAGCTCAGATCTTTGCTGAGAAACAGTCGATACGCTTCTTAGTCTGACATGTATCGTGGTACCGGTTCTTTGGTTACTATGTGGGAGTATTAAATCGAAGGAGAAGCTGGCTAACTTATCAAAGGGATGATAACAGAAAACATTTCAATGTCCATTTTCAAGTTATGCTTTTCTGTACGCCATCTCTGGGCTGAGCAAGAGAATAAAGGCAATCATGACTCTGTTAGTAGGGATAACCTTCTGATGAAAACAGGGTCTTGTTCATTATTAGTTGCAATATCAGTGTCATTTATTAAATATGTTTATATTTTCTGACGAGCTGAGTGATTCAGCTGATTGGAGGTTGACGCTGGTGTGTTGAATGTCCCAGTTTCAAACCTGGGGCTGGCCAAGATAATTCTTCTCTTGGGTGATGTGTGGCTCTATGGATTGGGACTCTGTGCCCATAATCAGAAGGTCACCACATCAGATTCCATGGTTGGCAGAGTGATATCACCGGTGGGTTCGTGAGCAGGGCCCTTAACCCTAATTGCCCCAGGAAATGGGCAACCCTGCTTTCATCTTAGTGCATTTGCTAAATAAATGCATGTAATATGTCAGGAACAGAGCTGGGCTATTTACTAAATCTTTACTAAATTTGATGGATGTACTGTAGACCTATTCTCACTTCTCCCTGATTCCGAGGACCATACAGGTGGGAATCAGATGAATTGGGCTTTTCATTTCCATCATTACCAGTACCCCGGACTGGAGAGTTAATTGTAAGGAGGTGATGTGGTGAGAAAAAGTGACTAGTTAAAATGGTTAGTGATTGTAGTACAGCCACTCTTCACTTGACCGAGTTATATTCCTACGACTAGGTACTTAAGCGAATTGGTCAATAAGTGAGGAGTATACTGTAATTCTAGTGGGTTAGTGTCAGCCATCTTTATATATTGTTGAATGTCACTTTTGCACCATTTATAACATTTTTTAGTATATTTATAAATGTTTATATAGTAGTTTACTGTATACTGTACTAAACAGAATAGGGGAAATCAGCTCTATTATACATTACAAAGGTTTGCATACTGTACAGCGTGAAATACCCACTAGTTGGGGAGCTGGTTGTAAGTCTGCTCAATCTTTAAGCAGGTATGTGATTGAGTGAGGAGTGTTTGTACTAATTTCACAGTCACTTAATAACAGCAATAAATAATTGTAATATAGAAATACATGAACATAAGCTAGATATTGGCTAAATTATTAGCATGTTTCCTTGGCTTACCTCAACCAAAAAGCAGTAGGTTTTTAAATTATAAACCAAAACAGAATATCAAGACCAAAAACATTTTGGACTGATGCTTCTAGGAGCCTCCTGGGGAAATCTGTGCCCAAACAAACATAAATATTACTTAATAATCCCATTTCACTTTCACAACATTTATTTAACAGCTATTCTGGAAAAGGAAATTGTATTTTTGCAAGACATTATCAAAAAAAAAATCCCTTCAATTCTGCAATGACACAGCATGTTACCAAAATCACTGTATTGGAATTTAGTAATACTCTCAGTCATGTTTTAGACATCAATGGAAACACAAACCTTTGTGGAACAGCTTGGTGTTACTTGTTGTGACTCCACAATGGCAAAATCTCCCCGTGGGTAGCAGGCAGGGATCCAAAGAGAGTTAACTTGAGTCCGTGTCAAGGCAGTTTTCACCACTGAATACTTGCTGAACTGGTTAGAAGAAGCAGATGTAACACAAGAAGAGGGTGTGGTCACTTTATTGGTCAATGAGGGCAGTTTAATTTCTGTAGCCTGGAGGCTGGAGATCTTTTCTTCACTGCTTTGCTCTCCTGTGTTTTCCCAGGTAATACAGTTTTTCCTGTGCTAATGCAGTCCACTGTTCTTGGTGTTACTCTACCACTGTACATATCTACAACACTGTGCAATAGTCCTAGGCAGTCAAATAAATTGGCATTGTTGGTGTAGAATTATGTCTGTCAAGGTGTGTCAGCATAGCCTTGTCAAAACCTCTCCTAAAGTCACCCCCGTATTTGCAGCAACCATCCAATACGCCTTTGTATTTTTGACTCGACCCTTAGATCACCATGTTTGGCTAAACAGTGCCTCACTGAGCTTTTTGCCAGTTGAGGTAATTATTTTTTTGAGCTGGTGGTGAAATTTGACAAATACATTGAATGGCTGAGGTGCCCCTGAGGTGAGGATTGGAAACTGAAGCGGGGATCATCTAGCCATCCAGTAACTTTTTGGAGAACAGAACTTCTTAAAATTCTTGTTTTTATTGTGTAACTTTGTGTAACTTTTTTATTGTGTAACTTTAAATTTACATATATTCTGATACTGAGTATTATTTTTCTGAGCAAATAGATAACATTAAACATTTTCTTTGACTGCCTGAATTGCACAATACCGTATGTCTCTTATTGAACTGCCCCATGTACGATACCTTACTTACGGATTTTCTCTCTTCTGCGCACTTCACGTTTCGTAATGCCATAGTGTGGTAGGGTTCCTCTGCTAACTCATATCTGACAAAAATAAAGTTGACACTATCTGCGGTTCCCACGGTTATTTTGTCATTGGGAATTTCATTATATCGCATTTGAACAAACCACTGGCCACACAGCGATGTTTCTTTGTACCAGAGGTACATTCACAAAAAAAAAAATTCTATATATCACAAACCAGTAAAGCGAGCAACAGATCAAACGGCTGTTTCGCGTGGGGCAGGACCGGGGTGGGGGTGTGGTGTGGTCCGCTGTTGCGTCTCTAAAGAAAAACCAGCTGCAGACGAAGATGCTGCCACTGCAAGTCATAACTGCATGCCGTTAAATGTCAACGGGGCTTTGTGTTAGTTGCACACAGTTGTGGTCAAGGGTTATTCTTTGCCCAGGGTGTTTTTTTTATCTTCAGCGGATGTGTCTGCACATAAAACTGGCTGCCGATAGCATCTTGGTGAAGCGCATCTGTCAGATCAGCGCAGAGCTTCGGCCGCCGCCGTCACTAACGTAATCTGCCGCTTTAAGCTCTCCAGCGTTCCCCTTGTTTACAATAATCCCGCCGCCGCTGCTCTCTCAGCAGGCCCAGTTCATTACTGCCGCTCACATTTATTACACCCAGTAATATATCTGTTTATTCAGCATTTAGCTGCTTATCCGAAGCTCTCATCTACCTTAAAATGTTTGCCCATTTATACAGCTGGATATTTTACTGAAGGAACTGGGAATAGCAGCTTTGCTGAGAGGTAACAGTGGAGCCCCTATTGGGACTTGAAAAAATAAGCTTCATGTCACATGACTGCTGCATTATGTCACTTTTATCGTTTTCACTAGTGTGTGTATTAGCATGTAAACACCTGCTGCTATTCATCACATTGCTGCACATGCGCTGGGGATTTCCTGTTAACCATCCTCAAGTGAGGCTGATTCTCTATGGGCACTTTTGCACCATTACTGAATGTATCCCGGTTGCCCTAAATAAGCCGATTTGCTGTCAAAACAAGTTCAGAGTATTGGGAAAGGATTGACATGTACTGTTTTGAAAGCATTACAGGGCCTGTTCTGGTGGTTCAGTCTGTGTTTGCTTCTGACCATGAGGGCTTAAGGGTGTCTGGGTTTCTTTGACTTGTTGTGTTGTAGAGCATCCCTCCAATTACCACTCATCTCATGTGGCTATGAAAGTCACAATGCGGTATTAGCCACTGATTGACACGTTTAGGTAATACTGGGTCAGCACACATTACCACAATTGATACCTCGTCGTTTCGTTAGCCGATCAATAGTATAGATTCACAGCCTTGACGTGGAAGTTTACGTCTGTTTTCTGGAGTATAATTATAACTGAGTGCCTTCACAACTATGGCCTTGTCTCTGTGAAGCTGGTGATACTGAGGAGCTCATCTACCTTCCAGCCAGTTATCCTGCCCAGGGATGAGGGGGGGCTGGAGATTGTCCCAGGCACAAGGCATGGATAGACCCTGGATGGGATGCCAGTCCATCACAGAGCATACACACACACACAGATAGGTTAGGTATCCATATGTTTGTGGGCACCATCCATTCATTTATGTGGGAAAACCCCTAATCCTAACAATGGCAACCTTAACCCCTACCCAGCCCTAACCTTAAGCAACCAAACAAATACAAGAGTTTTGGCATTTTTCGTTTTTTGATTTCTGTGACAGATCCACTTGTGGGGAATGTCCCTATAAGGTCAAAATAACCCCCATTGTGATATATACATGCCCACAGACACACACATTATGGCCAGTTTAGAGATGCCTGTTAACTGCATCT